AACTATTTGATTAGAAACCAGAGAGGCAGCTCAAGTGGACCCGCCTCACACAGTGAGCTCCATTTCACTGGACAGTCCCTATCATGTGAACGAAATAATTGTTTTTGAAAGCTTAAAACAATAAGCTTAAAATGGCACGAAACAGTGAAATCCTCAGCCCAGCTTCACTGCGTACTGACCCGGAACAGGCCCAGGCAGGTCTGAGCTTCAGGCCCCTTTCTCTGCTGTGTCATGAGCCATGACAACTGCAGCCCCCAGTGCCCAGCACAGAGAGAAGTCATTAAAATTAAAGGAGAAAAGGAGTACGAGAGGAAGAAAAAAATACCCTGCCATGGCCTGCAGAGGGGGCCTACCTGTGGGTCAGGGACAACCGGCTCCAAAGCACCATCGTGGGAGGCCTCCATGTCGCCAGGGACCTGGGCCTTGGCGCCACCATCCACGCGAGGCTGTGGGTGGGCCCCGGGCACCCGTGTGTGAGCTGTGGTTCTGCAGGCCTGCCGCCTGTCCAGCTCCACCTGGCACCTCAGGAACCGCTGGTGCAGCACATGCAACTGGCGGCTGAGGCGGGCACACTGCGCTCGGAGCCGCTGCAGCTCGGGAGGCTCCACCCCAGCTGCCAGCGGCTGCTGCTCCAGCACGCGGCGGATGTGGGCCAAGGCCAACAGGACGGCCTCCAGCTCGGCAGAGTGGGCCACCTTCCGCTGGTTCAATGCGTCAATTTCTAAATTTCTCTCGGCAATCATTGCTTCCTTTGCTTTCAGGGCAGCTTCGAACTCCTGGATCCGAGAGGCCATGCCTTCGACCTCAGCCTCCCTGAGGGCTGCACTGCGCTCTAGTTCAGCCAACTGCCGCTCCGCAGCCTCCTCTGCACCCTGGAGGCGCTGCTGCAGGGCCTCCAGGGCCTGGCTGTGCCCACGCTCCTGGTCAGCCAGCAGCCGGCTCAGGGCCTCCTTGGCTTCGAGTGCAGCCTCAAGCTCGCCCTGCAGGGCCTGCCCGCGGGGGCCCCCGGCCTGAGAGCAGAGCAGCTCGCTCTGCAGACTGCCAGCCTGACTGTCGCTGACTTCATGCACCACGGGCCCCATGAGGGACAGCTCGTGCTGCAGCTTCTCAATGACTTCATGGAGTTGTTCAATTTCCTCTGCTTTCTCCTTTTGTAATCGCTTCTGGTTCTCTCGCAGATTTTCAATCGTGGCTTTCAGCTCTTCAATCTCAGAACTTCTGGTATATACGACCTGAAGAGAGAGCACATTTCAGTGGCAAATTAAATGTATCCACTTCAGAATGTCCCTGCTTCACAACGCGTTACCTCCTGAATGCATTCTTGGAGTGAAGACTCCATAGCTTGAAAAACAAAGCAGCCACAGAAGCCAACTCCCAGTCTCGGGATGCACTCCACATCTGCCTGGGCTGCTACTGGGCCCTGGCGCACACCTTGTGCTCCACGTCTGATCGTGGGACAAAGTGCTAACGCAGCCAATTTCCACACAAGGACGTCTACAGAATGATGCTTTCACCACCCTTTACATGTTATTTTGTTAATATTTAAACAACTTGATTTGTTTGATTTTCCTGAAGGTGCATTAGATTTTAGGTGTCGTTCTGACTCCAGGAGGAAAGAAACCTGGGCAGAGAATCTGCACCAACAAAGCGGTGAGCCGGGCACACTCCCCTTCCATCCCAACACTGCTCACGGTGATGCTGGTGACGCAGGCGTCTCTGCCACTGCCACCTCGGTGACACCAGGCATCAAAGTGAGTTTACTTGTGCCATGAAACATAATCCTCAGTCATGTAAGGAAATACGATTATTTCCACTTTAAAGACAGGAAAATTGAAACTGAGATATTAAACATCTTTCTAAACCCACAAAAATAGTAGGTGGAAAATCAGGATTGAGATCTATGTCAATACAGCTCCAAATTCTATTCTCTTAAGATAACATTACTGGTAATGACAAAAAATAGAAAAATTCTAACCCATTTGTGTTCTAACAATTCTAAAACAATTTGTTATAAACTAATACGTTCTTCTAAAAAAATTGAGGGTTTCATAACAACTCCGGGTTTCTCTGGAACTACCTCACAATTACTCTGGACTGAAATGCAAATCTGGCCCACAGGAAAAAAAAAAAAACGGAACCTGATGAAGCTGTGGCTTTGGTTTCGACGCTGTCAGTGACACCTTCCTATGCATTTACCACCGAGGACCACCACCACGCAATTAGCAAAAGCAGCCTCCCAGCTGCGGGCTAGGAATGCCCGCTGCACATTCTGCTCCACCTTGTGTCTTACTGGGTGCAGCACCGGCCTGTGTCTCTGTACTCTACAGGCAAGTGAAGGAATTTTAAAGACAGTGCTGATTATATACAGCTTTCGCTCATTCACTAAATGCACTAAATAAACTGGAATCAAAGGGTGTGCACTAAAGATGGTCACAATCACAACGCAAATATTATGTTAAAATACTGGAACCAGCCTACAAAGGTAGCTCTAAATGTAAAACACTAAAACCTAAAATCAGTGAACTGAGGCCAGGTGCAGTGGCTCACGTCTGTAACCCCAGCACTTTGGGAGGCTGAGGCAGGCAGATCACTTAAGCACAGGAGTTCGAGATCAGCCTGGCCAACATGACGCAACCTGGTCTCTAGTAAAAATATAAAAATTAGCCAGGCGTAGTGACAGGCACCTGTAGTCCTAGCTACGCAAGAGGCTGAGGTGGGAGAATTGCTTAAACTCCGGAGGCAGAGGTTGCAGTGAGCCGAGATTGCGCCACTGCACTCCAAGGTGGGTGACAGAGCAAGACAGCATCAAAAAAAAGCAAAACGCATATACAAGCGTATTCAAGGAGACTTGAATGCAAAGTAAAACTATGAAATTTCTGAGGAAAATGGGGCTAGGGAAAGAGCTCTCAGATAGAACTTCAAAAGTATACTCTGGCGGGGCACGGTGGCTCACGCCTGCAATCCCAGCACTTTGGGAGGCCAAGGCAGGGGGATCATCTGAGTCAGGAGTTTGAGACCAGCCTGACCAACATGGAGAAACCCCGTCTCTACTAAAAATACAAGTTAGCTGGGCATAGTGGCGGGTGCCTGTAATCCCAGCTACTCAGGAGGCTGAGGCAGGAGAATTGCTTGAACCCGGGAGGCAGAGGTTGCAGTGAGCCGAGATCACGCCACTGCATTCCAGCCTGGGCAACACAGAGAGTCTCTGTCAAAAAAAAAAAGAAAGTAAAAAGTTTTGCTCTGCAAAACATACTGTTAAGAGAATGCAAAGACCAGCCATACATTGAGAGAAAATACCTGCAAATCATGTATCCAAAAAAAGCGTTCAAAAGATATAAAGAATTCCCAAAACAATACAAAACCGAACAACCCAACTTTTTAAAACTTTCTGAGGCGAGGCACGGTGGCTCATGTCTGTAATCCCAGCACTTTGGGAGGCCGAGGCAGGTGGGTCACAGGAGGTCAGGAGTTCGAAACCAGCCTGGCCAACATAGTGAAATCCCGTCTCTACTAAAAATACAAAAAAATTAGCCGGGTGTGGTGGTGGGTGCCTGTAATCCCAGCTACTCAGGAGGCTGAGGCAGGAGAATTGCTTGAACCCAGGAGACGGAGGTTGCAGTGAGCCGACATGGTCCCACTGCACTCCAGCCTGGGCCACAGAGTGAGACTCCATCTCAAAAAAAAAAAAAAAAACGCCTTTCTGAAAGACTTGAGCAAACATTTTCCCCACAATATGGATGGCAAATAAGCATAGAAAAAGATGCTGAAGATCACTAGTCATTAAGGAAACACAAAACACTAGGATATACCACTCTGTATCTACCAGAATGTCCAGGAAAAAAGACTGGCCTCACCAGGTGCTGATGAGAACGTGGTTACCCAGAACACTCATCTATTGCTAGTGGAATGTAAAACGGTAGCGCAACTATGGAAAACGGTTTGACAGTTTCTTTTAAGTAAAAGATATACTTACACATGAATCGGCCAAGCATTCAGATTAAGTATTGAACCACAAGAAGTGAACATTTATTTTCTCCCAAAAAGCTGTGCATGAAAGTTTACGGCAGCTCGATTCATCAAAACCTAGAAATTATCCAAATGTCCCCAACGGGTGAACGGATCAACAAACTGTGGTCCATCCAGACAACACTACTCAGCAACTAAAGGAACAGACACAGGCCACAGGATGCATCAATTTCAAGCGCGTCACAACACCTGACTCGAAGCAGAATTCCAGAGAGGAGAGGAGAGGCCGTGGGCGGGCAGCCAGAGGCTGGAAGTCGTAGACGGGTTACCAGGAAGAAACTGCACTAGGAAAATTTTCTGAGTGATGAGATTGTGGTGATTATTACAGGACTAAATCCTTTTTTCAAAATTTATAAAACTGTATACCAAAAAAAACTAATTTTATTATGCACAAAGTTAAAAAATAAAAAACTTAAAGAAATTGTTATACTAAAAAATAACAAGTATCTATAATCCATGACCTAAGGTTCTATCTGAAAAAGCTAGAAAAAGAAGAGAAAATAAACCCAAGGTAAATAGAAGGAAGCCAATAATGAAAATAAGAGGAGAAATCAAAGAAATAAACAGAGAAAAGTATCAGAGCCAAAAGCTGATTCTTTGAAAACATCAAAAACATGAATAAACTACTAGCTAGAGAGACACAAGAATAAAAGAGAAAACACAAACTCACTAATATCAGGAATAAAAGAAGGGCCATCAGCATAGAACTTGCAGATACTCAATGGCAAGTAAGGAAATGGTTAATAAGGTGAACAGTTACAAAATGAGAAAGTATAGGCTGGGTAGTGGCTCACGCCTGTAATCCCAGCTTTGTGAGGCCGAGGCAGATGGATCACAAGGTCAGGAGATCGAGACCATCCTGGCTAACACAGTGAAACCCCGTCTCTACCAAAAATACAAAAGATTAGCTCAGCGTGGTGACACACAACTGTAACCCCAGCTACTCGGGAGGCTGAGGCAGGAGAATCACTTGAACCCAGGAGGCGGAGGTTGCAGGGAGCTGAGATCATACCACTGCACTCCATCCTGGATGACAGAGCAAGACTCCATCTCAAAAATATAAAAAGTATAAACTTCTTTATGCAAAGCAATTTGACAATTTTGATGACATGCACAAGTTCCTTGAAAAATACAACTTATCACAACACGAAACAGAAATCCAAATACCTCAGTCTATTAAAGAAAATGAATTCATTGTCATAAATCTCTCTAGATACACAAACTCCAAACGGCTTCACTGTTGATGCTATGAAAACATTCAAGGAAGAAATCCCAGTTATGTGAAATAATCTCTTTCAGAAAAGATGGGGGGTGAAAAAATTCCCAACCTATTTTATGAGACTAACATAACCTTCATACCAAAGCCTTAGGAAATACTGCAAAAAAAGACAATTACAGACCAACATTCCTCATGAACACAGATGCAAAAACCATTAACAAAATATCAGCAAACCAAATTCAGTAATATATGTAACATATGAAGAGGGCAGTACATCACTACCAGGTATGGTTTATCCTAGAACTGCAAGGTCAGTTTAATCTCCAAGAAATAAATCACTCAATAAAGTTAACCCTATTCGTAGAATAAAAGAGAAAACTATCATCACTATTTCAATAGATCCAGAAAAAGCAAACTAGAAATGTAATGGAACTTTCTTTATCTGATAAAAAGGCACCTGTGAAAATCCTAAAGCTAACATACCTAATGGCAAAACACTGACCACTTCCCCGTAAGACAAGGAGCAGGGCAAAGATGACTGCTCTAGCCAGTTTGAACTTTGTACCGGGAGTGCTAGACATTGTAATCAGAGAAGGAAATAACAAAAATTGGAAAGAAATCAAACTGTCTTTACTTGAAGATGATGTTATCTTATACATAAAAAGCCCTCAGGAATCCACAAAGCACTACTAATATACATAAACTGTGCAAGGTAACAGCAAGGCTAATAGACAAAAGGTGTATGTGTATTCATGGTAAACAACTAGATAATTATTTTAAATCTCATTTCCAATAGTGCAGAAAGCCTAAAATATTTAAGGATAAATTTAACAAAAGACGTGTGAGACCTCTTTATTAAAACCTATAGAGTAAGAGACAAGTAAATGGTAAAATTTAAGAAACATCACTAAACCCAGAGTTAGAACAAGCAACACAGGAAGGGAGGGCCCACGTTGAGGACGAGGTGTTAGGGTGGCTGGAGCCCCGGAGGACGGCAATACAGAACAAGCAACAACCACGACCAGGCCAGGGAGACGGGAGCTCTGTTTCCCCACAAACCTAAGACACTTCTAGAAGACGAACATCCTCACTGACATCAAATGGGGTAGAAAACGGCAAACGTGGTGTCCTTGAAAGAACTGGAAACCAAACAGAGTCAAACCTTTAAATGGAATTTTACTTTTCCTTATTATATAAAGCAAACTAAAGTAATAGCCACACCTTCACAAAAAATTAGGAGAATTACAGAAAACGAAGGATGTACGAATTTGCACATATCTGGAAGAAAAATCCCACAAGAAAATACTGGGGATTGTCCTTATAAAGCCTTCAATTCCTAATGGAACTAAAATACTGTCCTTAACATTTAACTATTTTTAATATATTTTTCATTATATAAGATTATAGTTACAGGTCAAATTCTAGAGCGCACTACAGACAAATAATACAACTTCTTTTGAAAAGTAATCAATGGTTTTCAAAGGCATTCTTTTTTTGAGACGAGTCTTGCTCTGTTGCCCAGGCTGGAGTGCAGTGGCGCAATCTCGGCTCACTGCCACCTCTGCCTCCTGGGTTCAAGCGATTCTCCTGCCTCAGCCTCCCAAGTGACTATCAGAGGCACCGGCCACCAGGCCCAGATAATTTTTGTGTTTTTAGTAGAGATGGGGTTTCTCCATGTTGGCCACGTTGGTCTCGAACTCCTGAGCTCAAGTGATCTGCCTGCCTTGGCCTCTCGAAGTGCTGGGGTTACAGGCGTGAGCCACCGCGCCTGGCCATAAAAGGCATTCTTCAATGTAACCCAAAAGGATATTTTTAAATTTTTGCCAAATATACAAGATACCAACAGACACTAAGACAGATAATTAATATCTCAGTAGCCTCTGTCAAAGGGAAATTAAAAGTGACAAACTGGAGACAAACTTCTTTTTACTTCTATGGTCCCCTCCAAAATTATTTTTTTTAGGCAGGGTCCTGTTCTGTCATTACGGCTGGATTACAGTGGCATGATCACAGCTCACCGTGGCCTCCGTCGCCCAGGCTCCAGTGATCTTCCCACCTCAGCCTTCAGAGTAGCTGGTATTATAGGTGCATGCCTGGCTAAACTTTTTTTAAAAATTTGTAGAGATGGGACTCATTACGTCATTGTCCAGGATGATCTCGAATTCCTGGGCTCAAACGATCCTCCCACCTCAGGTTCCCAAACTCCTGGGATTACAGGTGTGAGAGCCACTGTGCCTGGCCATAAAGTTAATTTTGTGTTTGAGACAGGGTCTCGCTTTGTTGCCCAGGCTGAAGTGCAGTGGCATAATCACAGCTCACTGTACCCTCCATCTCCTGGGTTCAAGTGATTCTCCTGCCTCAGCCTCCTGAGTGGTGTGTATCACCCTGCCTGGCTAATTTTTGTATTTTTAGTAGAGATGGGGTTTTCCCATGTTGTTTAGGCTGGTCTCGAACTCCTGAGCTCAAGTGATTCACCCTCCTCAGTCTCCCAAAGTGCTGAGAATACAGGCGTGAGCCACCGTGCCTGACTGATAAAATTAATTTGGAAAAGTATTACAAACATTATATGAGGAAACAGAAGGCTGTCATCCTGGAAAGCCAAGGTCCCAGTCAATCACACCCAGACACCATGAGGACTTTGTGCAGGAGACGCAGGCAAAGCCAGAAGCACGAGAAGACCCCCTTCTCCCCCAGCACTGGGGAGTGGCTGGCCTCGCCCAGGTAAACCTGCTGTGCCCGGAGCTGCTTGCTCACACACAGGATCTCCCCTTCTTTGTTGTGCAGAAATGCTGGTGGAAATGGTAATAACAACAACCATATCAAAACAGAGCCAACAGAACCTTACTAGGGAAATGTTCCACTGACCCTACAGGTATGAAATGTCCTAATTAAATGAGCCTACAGTTTTAAATTGGAAAAATGGAAAATCAATTTGAAAATGTTTGTCTGTTTTTGTTTTTTGAGACAGAGTCTCGCTTTGTTGCCCAGGCTGGAGTGCAGTGGCGCGATCTCGGCTCACTGCAAGCTCCGCCTCCCGGGTTCACGCTGTTCTCCTGCCTCAGCTTTCCGACTACCTGGGACTACAGGCGCCGCCACCGCGCCCCGCTAATTTTTTGGTTTTTTTTGTTTTTTTGTTTTTTTAGTAGAGACGGGGTTTCACCGTGTTAGCCAGGATAGTCTCGATCTCCTGACCTCGTGATCTGCCCGCCTTGGCCTCCCAAAGTGTTGGGATTACAGGCGTGAGCCACTGCGCCCGGCTGAAAATCTTTTTCTACTAAAGTCCTTTCTGTCTAGTTTTCTTATGGTTGTTTAAAAATAAACCAATAAGTAAATAAAGTCTTCTCTGTTTAAAATGACGTATTACGCTAGGCAAGGTAGCTCATGCCTGTAATCCCAGCACTTTGCGAAGCAGAGGTGGAAGGACCGCTTGAAGCCAGGAGCTCAAGACCAGCCTGGGCAAGACAGCGAGACTCTATCTCCACCAAAAAAAAAAAAAATTTAGCCAGGTGTGGTGGCGCATGCCTGTAGTCCCAGCTACTGGGGAGGCTGAGGCAGGAGAATCGCTGGAGCCCAGGAGTTTGAGGCTGCAGTGAGCTATGACTGTGCCACCCAGGCGACAGAGTGAGACCCTGTCTCTAAAAAAAAAAAATAACATAAATAAATAAAACGACATATTCATTTGGATTTCAAAAATCAATTACTGCACTTTTCCAGGCAATCTGTCTCAAAACCATCACCAAAAAGAAGTAAAATGAGCTCTTATCTGTTTCTCATCTTATTAACGAAGGAAGAGTTCACACAGAAAGAACCGCTCATCCCCGGGATCAACCTAAAACTCCCTTTTACTCCACACAGGTTAGAATCATTCACATGTAGCCTCGGTAAGAATCAGACATAAACGTCACCACCCTCAACTGTCTCCCACGCTGAGTTCATTCACCAAAGAGGCGCCACGCGGGC